CTATTCTCTAGAAAAAAGTCGGCAGATGTGATGAATTCAGACTGTGTTATGAGTGACTTATAATCATCCCCGAACTTTCTTTCTCTCTCTCTCTCTCTCTCTCTCTCTCTCTCTCTCTCTCTCTCTCTCTCTCTCTCTTTCACACACACACACACACACACACACACACGCATACACACGCACACATGCCCCACTCCCCCCTTTTCTGGGAATTGCAAGCAGTAGGGGAAGGGAGGCTGCCCTTTTGTGATGACCTGTACTCAGCAAAAGAGAACCAGTCCCAAAGTGTGACACAGAGTTAAACCTTAGCAAGCTCATTAGCAAGTACAGGGCCGGGGAAATGGCTCAGTAGAATAAGCACTTCCCTGGCAAGCGCAAGGATCTGAGTTCAATCCCCGGTTCCGCAAAAAAAAAAAAAAAATCATTAGCAAGTACATGGTGCTGTCCTCCTAATCTCCATACTCCTCCGGCTCACCTCAGACTCACCAAACCTTTAACTTGGTTACAGCTGACTTCCTTTTAAAGCTTTTTCTGAGCTCAGTGGTATGCTGCCCCACACTTAGGCATCTTCACTTATTGCTCCCACCTCATGGCAGTTTGCTCTTGGCTTTAAGCAAATCACAGGCAACCGATTCTGTCTTGTGCAAGTTTGGAGATGTGTCCTAAATGAATCCCGAAACTTCCTGAGGTCACTGATTCAAGAAGTGGATGTGGGGCACAGAGGCAGTCTGTAGTGACTGCTTCGGGGCTGTCTTGTTTCTCAGAGAATCAAGGCATTTTATAATTCTGTTTGGATCATCTAAAAGAGCAGGGAAAAGAGAAGAGTACAAGGAAAGGTGCTCAAGGGAAGGAGGAAATGGATGGCTTAACTCTCCAGACAAGGAAAGTGTTCACTTTGGACCTCTGCTGTGAAGTTTGACAACCAAAATGGAATGAAAGATTTAGGAGAAGGTTGTTGTTCAGGATCAAAAGGGCAAGGCCAGGAAACATCAGGGAGGAAGGAAAGAACAGGACAGTGCAGGGAAGGGAACAAAGAGAACCACAGTGGTAATTGTCTGATGAGGTGATTTGCTGGGCTTCAAGAAGGATTCTCAGCAAAAGCTATGCATTATTTGGGAGCAAGTGGTGAGTTTACTTGATTGGGTCATCTAAGACCAGTGCACATCAGAATTTGCTTATTTTTATTATTGTGTTCGTTTTACTTTGAGAGAGGAAGAGGTAAGGGAATGGGGTTTTTGCTTGTGTTGCTGCTGCTTCTACTTCCACTTTGTGAAAAGCAAAATAGAAAAGAGCAGCCATGGAAGAAATATTTCCAAATGCACAAAAGGGAAAGGAAGGCACCCAGAACCCTGTTTGGGCTTCTCTTTCCACCCCAAAACCCTGGACAGAGTGAAGAGTCGCTAAGGAGACAATGACAGGTACCGAGCATGAGCTGTGCCAATCAATCAGAAACAAAGCGTCACACTTCTTTAGTGGGCCCCCGTGCCATGGTTTCCATTAAAAACTACGGCACTTATAATATTTAAATGATGGAACTTAACAAAAAAGAGGATAGAGGTGAATGTCCATCTTGTATCTGTGTATTCAAAGTGGTTAGGATAGATATATAGTTACATTCTCTTAATGAATAGAGCGATTTGTTTTAATGGTGTTTGTAAATAGGATATCATGTCCGCATCTTGTACAGCAATTAACCACTAGGAAGAATGTATGCAATGTGTTAATTATTGAAACTGTCCTACCAATTTGGTTTGAAACTGTCTCATTGCTGTTTGTTTCTCAACAAAATTATGGGAAAAAAATAAAAACTAAAAAAAAAGACTATAGCACATTCATCAACAGCAAGGAAAGAGAAACACTGCATGTTGCAACCGGGAAAAGAAGAGGAAAGAAGCATGTTGGGATGATTCTTCAGCCCACTGCTCTGCACATAGTAGGCATTCAATAAATATTCGAAGAATGGATTCATTTTTGCACGGGTTACTTATGTGGAAAACAAAAGTGAACTCTACACTTATGCATGTATATTTCCTGCTAAATTTTAGACATTTTCAACTTGACTCATGTCATTTCTACCATTAAAATGAAAGTTGGAGGGGCCGGAGAGATGGCTCACTGGAATAAGCGCTTCCCTGGCAAGTGCAAGGGCCTGAGTTTAATCCCCAGTTCTGCCAAAAAAAAAAAAAAGATGAATGTTGGAAAAAAATGAAAGCTGGATTGGCCCACATGTAATGTTCTTTTTTCCCTTGTCACTTCCTTCTGATATCATGTTTTAGACACATATTCTTTGATTCTTTCTCCACCCCGCTCTGTCCGCCACTCTGAAAGATGGAATAGCTACAAAGAAAAATAGATTCGAGCCTTTTATCAGTAAATGGATTTATTCAACTAGAGACCATACTCATAAGTGAAATAAATCAGATCCGCATGTGTAAACATCATATTGTCTGCTTAGTGGAAGAAACTAAAAGAATAAATACAATCTGAAAGGTACAATAGATATAGTAAAAGGCCCATAACTGACAAAACAAAACAAAAAAGAGGGATATAAAGGACCATTTTGTAGTGAAATACGTACATACATACATACATACATATGTATGTATGTATGTATGTATATACAATATAGTTAGGATAGATATACAGCTACTTTCTCTTAGTTCAATGAAAAGAAAAGTTTGTGCTAATATTGTTTAGACAAGTTATCATGTCTGCATCTTCTTCTCTGAATAACTACTAAGAAGACAATATGCAATATATTAATTATTGTAACTGTTGTACTAACCTGTTTTGAAACTGATTCAGTGCTATTTTATCTTTTTTCTCATTAAAATGAATAAAAGAGGGGGCTGGGGAGATGGCTCAGTGGAATAAGCGCTTTCCTGGCAAGTTCAAGGGCCTGAGTTCAATCCCTGCTTCAGCAAAAAATTAAAAAAAAAAAGACCAGAGTAAAATGAATAAAAGATAAAAAATAGGTAATATACCAACCATTGTTAATCAGCTATTCTTGTTTTGACAATCTGTAATATATGTGTTGTTTTATGTTACCCTGTTTCTATCTTTGTTTCTGATTTTTGTACTTATTTTTGATTTTTACTTTTCAAAATAAAATAAAATTAATTGAAAAAGATATAGTAAAAGGGAAAGAAACTGCTCAAAAGGAAATAGCAAGTGGGATGAGGGGAAGGCGAAAAGAAAGAAGGAAGGGGGAAATGTATACATATACACAGGACAGCTAGGATGATTGCACTACTGATTTCTATTGGTTTTTTGAAGAGAGAAGTTAAGGCCTAAAATTTTTATTTTGAATAATTTAAAATGCTTACATATAGTAATCTAAGCAACCACTTTGGAGACAATAATGTGTAATATAACAACCACTGTTGAATTCCTATCATCTTGTATTATGAAACTCTGTATCATTTCTAATATTTTATCTATTATGCTTTTATTCTCTTTAAATAAAAGATGGAAAAGGCAATAATACTATAGAGTGGCTACAGAGCTTCCTACTGAAAAAGAAACAAAACACTAGTGAACAGAAAAGAAGACTTGAAAGCAAAGATTTTTAGGAGATAGCTTGTCAATATGTCAACTGTATGCCCAATTCTCCCTTTTAATATAAGACGCTAAAGTAGTTTTTATGTGTAATACGCATTGAAAAACAGGACATCAAACCCCAGCATGCTTTTATGCTTTTGCAATTTCGCTGTTTTACAAGATGTCCCCATGAATGTGTCAGGCAATCTCTTGGTCACGATGACTGATGATAGTACTGCTTGGGGTTCATGAAGCACTCGTTTGATCACTTTTACATGAGACACTCCACAAAACTTCAATATGTGGTTGTCAGGAATAAATTACAATTTCTTCTCATGTTTCTGTTTAATTAAATCTGTTGCTAACAAACAAGTCAGCAAGGAGGTGTTCATTAGGATGATCTATGAGAGGACACTGCAGCCCTTGAGGCGGAAAGCATTGCCAACTTGAATTAAACTGTATCTCTGCTCTCTTTATTTAATGTTTGACACAAAAATTGTTTTGTCGGGGGCCGGGGAGATGGCTCAGTAGGATAAGCGCTTGACTGGCAAACTCAAGGATCTGAGTTCAATCCCCAGTTCCGCCAAAAAAAAAAAATTGTTTTGTTTTGGTCTCATGTTGGGATTACACACAAAAGGACACCATTTTGATCAATGTACATTCTTATTATATACATGAAGAAAGACTATATGCTTTATACCAAATCAGCATGGCTGAGTCCCTTAAAGAAGCCAGTGTAGGGCTAAGGATGTGGCTCAGTCACAGAACTCTTGTTTTGCATACACAAAGCCCTGGGTTTTATCCCCAGCACCACATTAAAAAGAAAAAAAAAGAAGAAACCAATGTAAGTCTGGGAGTGTAGCCCAGTGATACAACACTTGTCTAGCCTACAAAAGTCTCTGACTTTCCAGAACTTCCAAAAAAATCCACTGCAGTCACCAATAACCAATAAATATGTGCATTCCAAACAGAAAATGAAAACTCAGTTGTATCTCACATGAGTTATTTTCTTCTTTTAAATGTTTTAGAAACAGCATTTTACTTAAAAAAAATCATATTTAAGCCGGGTATGGTGGTGTACAACTATAATCTCAGCATTTGGGAAACTGAGGCAGTAGGATTGCCTTGAGTTTGAGGCCAGCCTGGGCTATATAGTGGGTTCAAGGCAGCCTGCACTGCATAGCAGGATCTTGTCTCAAACATCAAAACTGAATTTAATCTTACATTTTCACGCTTCAGAAATAGGTGATAAAAGGGCTGAGGAGATGGCTCAGTAGAATAAGCGCTTGCCTGGCAAGCATAAGGGACTGAGTTCAATGCCCGGTTCTGCAAAAAAAAAAAAGTATTATATTTGAAGTATGAATTCAGATGACACACCCCTTGTGTTTTTGTCTGTTTTAGAAATCCTCCCTGGACAGATTCCTATTTCTTGTGGATCATTAACCACATCATCTGCAAGGATGAAAGTTGTCAAGTTCGTAAGCGAGATGCTCTTCCTGGCCGCCATGTTTTCAGCCTGTTCTGGAGAAATTCCAGTGACGGTGATGTGCTCCATGGACTGGTTCATGGTCACCGTACACCCCTTCATGTGGAACGACGACGTGTACGTGCACTTTCATGAGCTGCACTTGGGCCTGGGTTGCCCCGTCAACTATGTTCAGACACACATCTACCAGTTCACCTACCGCGTCACGGAATGTGGCATCAGAATCAAGGCTGTCTTTCCTGATGTAATCATCTACAGCTCCGAGCTCCACTATGCCTCGAAGGATACGTCATCTAAGTATGTGATCCCAGTGTCATGTGCTGCCCCCAAACGTTCCCAATGGCTCCCCATAGCCCACTCCACGCAAGGTGCCAGCCAGGGTGCAGCTGAGGCCAACACTGATGATACACAGCAGCAGCTGACCACCTTGTCAGAACCCAGTGCAACAGCTCACTGCGATTGTCCATTTTGTGTCTTCAATGACCAGCAGACGGAGGCCCCCCAAAACGAAGCAGAGGCTCAAGATGATTTTCCCAGTCTATCACCTTATTTTGTTACTATTTCTGAAGATTAGTGTCTTCACTTGGATGAGCTGACCGAACTCATGTAATCCCCAGGGTTACCTGAGTCTCCTGAAGATTTTTCTCAAGTTAGCATGTAGTATATTTTAGTTTTAGAAAAAATAAGTGTCACTATGACAACTTTATGATTACTTCTTTGAAACTATTTCTATATCTTTTTTAAAAACAATATAAAATTCTCATGGCACAAAAATATCAGTTGGGTGTCTTTATTTCATAGATAGATAGATAGATAGATAGATAGATAGATAGATAGATAGATAGATGGCTTAGCTCTATTCTGAGTGGTGTGCAAACATCAATGCCTGGACTCTTTTCTCTAGCATGACTTATATCTCCTTTATGGTCCTCTAAGAAAGCCTCATGTGATCTGACTCTATTTTCTGCACCACGAACTTAAAACAACTTCATGCCTTCTTAGTTTGATCCACAGCAGTATCAATTGTCATGAGTTGCACTAGTGATTTTTAAATTACCAGTGGTCCTAAAAGCAGCACAAGTCCCATCCCCAGCTCTAGATGGTAGGTTCCTGAGACTAAGAGCTGGATCTTACACTTCAGTCACAGAATGATATACTTTGAAAGGAAGCCCCATCCCCTAGAACACAGGATTAGAAAAGTTTCACCAAAGTTTGGCTGCATATCAGCTTTCTCAAAGGCTTGGAGGAATGAGAGCAAGTTAATTGGTCAGCAAATACTTCTTTAGTGCTACTGCATACTGGGTATGGGTCTAGGCACTGAAGATATAACAGTAAGTAGAAAAGGGATCAGAGAAATTGAGATTGCACAGATGATGGGCAAATAAGTAAGTGAGCAAATAAAGTCAGATAATACAAACTTCTGTGGAGAATTTACAGCAGAGACATGACAGAAGCAGAGGAAGGAGCCTCTGAGGACTTGTGATTTGAACTCAGTCTCAAATGTGTATAAGGAGCCAGTCCTGGGACAGTCTGTGGAAAAACACATTGCACAGAGTAGAAGCATCTCATTTAGTTCTCTCTATAGTGCTATGAATAGTCTTATCACACCCAATTTCAAATCAGGAAACCGAGGCACAGAATGACTAAGCGAGCTGCCAAAGGCCACCCACCTATTGAAAAGCAGACTATTTCAAAGCATCATGCTAAATACCACAAATTCATACAGTTTTGATTTGCCAGTAACCATTAGTTTTCAAAGAAGTGGGCAGTGTTTTAAGGCAGTGCTTATACATGTTAATATCAGCAAAGTGTTTTAGTTGATGAATAAATATGAGGAATACAGTCATGAGTGAAGAAACACAGTAATCCACTTAAAAATCCCTTTCTGCTTCTTGAGGAAGACCAAGAAACTTGGAAGCAGCATATTCCTGTAACAAATCTTTACTGTACTTGTTCTATGTGTCAGGGACCATTGTAAAGCCGAGGATACAGTGGTGAACAAGACCAACACAGTCTAATGGTGAAGTGGACAAATTAAAATACCTGAGGGGATAGAAGTTATTCCAACTCCTCTGCAATTGCAGAGGATGAGCTTGTGCAAAGCCATGAGGATGGGGGCTGGGGTCATGGGTACCACTGAAAGTAGTCTAGTGCAACACCATGGAGGCATGGTGAAGGCACAGATGACAGTTACAAGCAGGAAAGCCAGAGAAGCCACAACATATGAGCTAGTCCTTTTTTCTCCTCTTCTGTCCTCACCAGCTTATGGATCTTCAGACACTGAAACACACACAAAAAATCTGGGAAAGAACCAATGTTAAACACATTAGCTCGACTGTGTGCTAGCTGAGGATTTCACAACTGCAATGGACAGTCTCGACAAAAGCACCAATTGTGTGTAGTGTAGCAGCCTCGGAAGGAACCCAAGGCAAAGCCGGTAATGGTAGTAGTTACCATGTGCCAGATATTTTGCTTAGATCATCTCATTTAATGCTCATAATAGGTATGTAAAGGAAAAATAATTTTCCCTCTTTTATAGATGAGGAGACTAAAGCTCAGAGAAATTGAGCTTGTGCAGCTAGTAAACAGCATCACTAGCACACAAATCAGTCTGTCCCACTGCACAGTCTGCTTTCACTTGCATACTTGTTATGGTTTGGTCTTTTTTCCACAAAATGAATGAGTATTTATTATTCTAGTTCACAGACTTTGAAATTATTTAAAGGCAGTTCATGGAAAACAATGTACAAAGTTTAACAAGTACTTTTGAGGTAATCCACAAAGCTGCTCTTCTTGTAAATGCACAATTTCTTTTTCGTTAAGTGGCTAAAGAGAGTTTCCACACATTTTGAAATGTCCCCCCAAATTCATGTGCTACCAGCTTGCTTTTTAGCTGATGGGCTTGTTAGAAAGCAAGCCCATTATGAGAGCCCCATCTGTTATCAACTAATCTATGGATGAGATCATAACTTTTTTTATAAATTTAGGACAGGGTCTACAAGGTGTTCAGGGTGTCACTGCTAGAATGGACTCATAGTGATCCACCTGTTTACAACCTCCCAAGAGCTGGGATCACAGGCACTCACCACCATGTCCAGTCTCAATCACCATCTCAGCACGCCCCGGGGGCGGGGCTGGCATGAAATGCCAGGGATCAAATCCCAGCCACTGGAGATCATTATTTGATGACATTATTGGGAAGGAATGGGGCCTGACCTTGGAGACTCTATCTGGTCTGTGGCTCATTCTTCTTGGACTCTTTTTTTTTTTTCATGATTTCACCATATAATACCTAAAACCACTCCCAGAGAAGAGAATCTTCTGTGGGATGGAAGATCCAGTAAGATTTGCAGTTCAAGTTAAGCAATGATCCCATTCTCAGAAGATAGTAATGACTTAGTTAAGCGAAACAGAATGAGAAGAGGAGGGGGCAGAAGGACAAAAAATTTCCGTGAGGGTAAGCACTGAGACAGGGTGAACGAGCCCATGTTGAAGGAAAGGCACCAAAGTGGACAAATGCTCTAACCTGGGTGAGATGAGATAAGAACATTAGATGAAGAAAGGACCCCAAGGGTAAGGAGAAAAGAAACTGAACCATTTTAAGTAAATAACAAGATTTCAATTATTTTAGCCTAGGCTGGCCAGATAGCTCAGCAGACTAAAGCACCTGCTTAGGCAGGCTCAGTGACCCTGTTTGATTCCCGGCATGCTGTGCTGGCCCCACCCCTGCACATGGTGAGGGTATGATTGAAACTGCCAGTGGAGGTATGCACCTGTAATCCCAGTGCTTGTGAGGCTGAAAACAAGAGGATCACTATGAGTCCAATCTGTGTAGTGAGACCCTGTAGACCCTGTACTAAATACATAAAATAAATAAAATTATTTTAGCTTATCATGATTAAGAAAATAATTGAGTAGCACAGGTGAATCTGCAATGTGGAAAGTTCCAGACCCTGAATCAGAGAGGAGAGGGTACAAGGAAGACATAGGACTGAGGGTAAGTTCTGATCTGCCTGAA